CTATTCTCTAGGCTTTCCTTAGACTATCATAGACCTAGGTTTCTGGACACAATGACATTTCCAGCAGTAATTAAATTTATAAGACAGGCAACTGTCACCATGAAGGGGTAAACTGAGGCATTATGAGCCTAAAACAAATGGTGTAAGTAGACCTACAAAGAATCCCATCGTGCAATCCAGGAAGGATCCCCAAAGATGAGATGCTTGGTGCCTTCCTACAACAGACCAAAATGTCTTTTCACTGCTGTAGAATACAGTTGTGGTGATTTGTCAGCCAGATAATTCAATATAGGTAGCAGAAAGCATTGCAGGAAGCACTCCCTGTGCCTCCAGACCCTGCCTCACCCCTGACTTTTTGGTCTTTGAGCCAAGACTTCATTCCCTTCACAGCCAGGAGCCGCATCGCCTTTGCCAGCCCTGCGCCATCCCGCATGGCAGACCCCATACGGACGTATGGAATCAGGCTTTGGGGGGTGCCGGGTGCTTCCCCTGAGGGGGCCATGCCTGCGGCACTGCCGGCGGCAACCACCTACGATCCCTTTGGCAAGACCCTGCCACCGTCTGCCGCAACCTGGCAGAGCTGGGGCTGCAACCCCGGCTGTTCGCATGGGGCGGCTTCCCGCATCCCAGCTCTTCCTCCGGCTCTCCATAAACCTCTAAAATACTCTTCCCTCCGAAGATGCACCTTTTCAGTATTCACAGAGAAGAGTACAGTCACATATTCCTCTCAAAGCCACAAGGACTTGACTAGAGCTAAAATGTCATTTATGTACATATCACAAGCGTTTTTCTAGGCACAGATGTCTTTCTGGTGCCAATATGCTGTTTATGTACTTATCTGTCACAAGCACATGTCTACATACATATGCCCTGCTGGCAGAGGCACAGAGCATTTTGAAACTCTTATTAGACTGCTAATGAATAATACGCATACAAAGGAGAAAACAGAAGGTGGGTCTATCAGGAACAGCCTCTTTCTTAACTACCTTTTAATTGTAGGAGAGGAAGAAAAGAGATGAATTTTGATATGCTGGCATCTGTGAAGGCCTGCTTAGCAGCATCAAACACCATCATTTTAAAAGTGGATTTTTCACAGGTTTGGGTATTTTGAAAAGGGGGGGGGGGGGAGATTTCTTTTTTTTTTTTCCCTTAGGGAAAAAAAAAAAAAAGAAGGAAAAAAAACCCACAAAATTTTGACACTGAGAGTATTGCAAATCCTGGTGCCAATGATGTACGATAGTGTGATTGTCACCATGGAATGCTGAAAAGCCCGAGCAGCTGTTTGGCATATTGACAGTGTGAATTCGGAGCGTTTTAAATGCAAATGACAGTATTCAATTGATCGCAGGAAAACAATGGGTCATAGCCTTACCTTTCCTTGGCTACACTCTGAATAATCAGTCTGCAAATCCATGCACATAATAGGGATATTCTGGGGATTTTGTTCCCCATTTACATGTGGGTCCAAAATGATGATTCTTTTGGGCAGAGCTAGAGCAGAGATGTTACTGCGCTGTCCTGGGCACCGCACTGGGGTGAGGTAGAGAAAGGGGTATAATTTGCTCCAAATCCACTGTATCCTATATGTCAGCCTGTTTTTAGAATCATAGAATTCTAGAATGGTTTGGGTTGGAAGGGACGTTAAAGCTCCTCCAGCTCCAACCCCTGCCACGGGCAGGGACACCTTCCACTAGAGCAGCTTGCTCCAAGCCCCTGTGTCCAACCTGGCCTTGAACACTGCCAGGGATGGGGCAGCCACAGCTTCTCTGGGCACCCTGTGCCAGCGCCTCAGCACCCTTGCAGTAAATGATTTCTTCCTAATATCTAATGTAAATCTACAGTCTTGCACTACTTGCTCTTATAAAAAGTCCCCCTCCAGCTTTCTTAATAGTGCCCTTTCAGGTACTAGAAGGCTGCTATGAGGTATCCCTGAAGCCTTTTCTTCACATCTATCCTTTTCTGCTTGCTCTTTAATCATTCCCAAAGGTGGCTGGCTTTCTGCCTGGCTTGTCTCCATTATGCCCTGCTGCAATCAATATGTCAAGCAGAAATCAGCAGGAGAAGACATGTTCTGGTCTTGCTGAGAGCTGATGGGAAGGAAGGTGTCTTGATTTTGACTAGGATAGAGTTAATTTTCTTCCTAGTAGAGTGCTGTATTTTGGCTTTAGTCTCAGAACACTGCTGATAACACACATGTTTTAGATGCTGTTCAGTAGAACTTACTCTGATCCAGGCCTTTTCAGTCTTCCATGCTCTGTCATGGGATGAGGGCAGAAGAAGCCCCTTCATGGTGTCTGCTGCCTGGCAGGTAGCAGCAAGTTAAGGTTTTCCTGCTTCTCCCAGCCCAGAGAGAAGTCCCAGGTTGGCCATGTTAAATCAAAGGCAGTCACTGGCACCCTGAATATCTCCAGCCATAGCTTTTTTTATTTTCAAGACCCTGATTTCTTTAAAAACAAGTTCAAAAACATGCAGGAGTGCTGTGGGTGAGGACATCACCAAGCAGCACTACCTACACATGGCTTTGTCTTGCAGAATGCACATATGACATCTCCCTCCCAGAATCTGAACTTGCTGAATTTCTTCCCTTTCTTTATTTTGTAAGCCTGAAAGAGCTTTTCAGGGTCCATTCTATTCCTGCAGTTCCCTGGTTGCAGCTAAATTATAGCAATAAGCAGTGCTTTCCTGTCTCCTGTGCTTCCATCCACCCTTCTGGTGTTTCATTTTGGGTCAAGCAGTGGTTTTTTTGGACCTCCTTGATCCATGGGTTGTGTGCTTCTGCAAAACAACTAATCTACAAACAGCATCACAGTTGCCAGAGCAGTTGCTGAGATGTCAGCAAGATGTCCCTGCTCAGATTTGCACCTGGAATCATAAGGGTGAATCAAATATCACACGTGGCTGTCTGAATGTGTGGTCTGCATGGTGGGCTCCTTGCACCCAGCTTCTCCATTGGATTTGCCAGTTACAGCAAAATTACTCCTATTTCAGCATTCAGCCTTTCAGTCTCTGAAGGACGGCAACGAACAAAACCAGCATCATTATTACCTTTGCCTTCCGAAGATAAATCTGTTTACCTGTAAAACAGATGCATTAAAAAACAATCAGCCAACAGAAATAATTAGTTACAACGTAGGCATGTGATTTGCTCAGCCTCTGGAACAGGGTAATCTCTTACTTAGCTTGAACTCATTGCTGATGGATGCTTGGTGAAAGGTCTTGGAGACTATGTACTCAGCTAAATGCTGGGGAGACAGAAAATGATTACTTCAGAGAGACATTCCTCAAGTCAGCTCTGCAAGAAATTCATCACCAACAGCATTGGCACCACACATGAGCAGCAGCGTATGGAAACTGAACTGTAAGAAGGAACAGAGCAAGCGAACTAAGGGAATATTTCATACCATGAGCATGAGGGATGCATCATTACCCAAAGGGAGAAACGTTCTTACTTAGCAGGCTTTTGTTTAATGAAAAGGAAATCTTGGGGGGGGGGGGGGGGGATTTAGCTGTTAACACAGAGCCTTTCTTTTCTGGGAACAAAGGGAACCAAACCAGCATAGGTCAGTAATGGACAAACCTTCTATCAAATTATGCTGAACTGGAAGGTAGAGCCTTGAGCTTGTTATCAAACACGCATGACTGTCCTCTTGTGCCTAAAACCCACAGTCCAAACAGTTTTCCTTGGAAGTAAGTTTACCACTCACTGCTGCTTAGCTCCAAGTGGCCAAAGACCACCCTAAAATAAAGCCACCACCAAGACCAAGAGCAAGGGCTGCTGCAGAAGGCTTCTCCCCCCTGCTCATGCACTTAGCCAGGTGCTCTCTTTAAGTATAAACCTTTAAAAGAAGCAGATGTTGCCTTTAGGTTGGGAGGCCGGCGCTTGATATGAGTCCTCCTGCATGGAAACAAGGATCTAGGATCTCCTTTGCCCCAAAGGCTTTCCACAAACCCTTTTACCTGAAACCTGGAGCACATCAGTCTTCAAAGGCTCATGAATATGCAACAAATGCTGAACTTCGTTGAATATGGAAAAAGCACATCTGGAATGAAGAAGAAGATGCCTTGTCTTTAGCTAAATTGAGGGTCTGGTCTCATTCTAACAGAAGGAGAAGGGCAACAATAAAACCACACCACAACTGTCTCTTGTGATGACAGAACCAGTAGAATTTTCCCCATTTTCCTCCTGCTGGCAAACAGTAGAAGGCAAAAGTCTTGTGGAGACAGAAGGAATAAAACCAAAATGCCTTGCAGAAGGCTAGAAAACTTTCCCAAAGCATTTTTCTTTAAGCTTAACCACATGATTTACAAGCTTGTTATTAGTTCCCCCCTCCTTACAGAAAAAGAGAAATTTAAAAAGTGTAGATTAACACATTTTTGGATGTCTTCCAAGCTCTCGATTCCTTTGCATAAAGGATTATTATGACAAATTAAAGATCACTTTTTGGGTGGCCTGGAGAGAGGCAAATCTGTGCTCTCTGTGTAGCAGAAATGGTAGCTTCTCGAAGGGTGCTTGGTTGGGTCTCTCAGACAATTACAGAGATGAATCCAGTCCAGCTTCTGATCTAACTGTAACAAAATACTGGTTAGTAATTCCTGAGAATGTTTTTCAGATTGGTCAAACACAGTCTGGGGACTGCCTCAGGTACCTTAATCTCTGTGTAGTAAGTACTCAGAAAATACTAGAGGTTCTTAAGTGAAGGGAACCCTTAGGAGATGCTGTAAGACCATCTTCAGTGGATGTCTCTACTGATTACAGGCAGTTTATTTATTGGTAATTAATTATTCATTTTAAATTTATCTGCTCCTTATCACAAGGTCCTTATGTTTCCAAATTGCTTGGTAACTGTTTTTTAAAAGACATCTAGCCACTGAGCAGCACCTGGGTCACACTAGATGAATGCAGCAGTGAGCCCTATTTTAGTGTAACAAAAAGCAACTCACTCCGTAAACCAGGAGCAGCACTACTGGAAATGCCCTGATGTCATCTACCTTTGTGGTACCCAAGTGATCACCATAATGCCATCCATGGGGTATGGTGGGTTTCTCACTGGGATGCGGCTGCGGGTCATGGTATAGCCCTGCTGCAGTGATCACCATGCATCAGACAAGCTGGTGGTCCTAAAGCTTTTGGTCACATTGATGAGTTACAGTGCCCAGGGTAGTACAGAAAGGCAGTTTAAGAACAAGTTGGACCACTGTGAAAAAAGCAATTGTCCTGCAATGGGAAAAAAAAAATATATATATTCACTTAAAGGGAATCTTTGTAAACAGGTTGAACAAGACTATGAGGCTGGAGGAACAGATGGGAAAATGGAACAAACAGATGGAAAAACTCTATTTCTGAAAAAAAAAAAGAAAAAAGATCTATTTGTAAAGCTATAGCTACTTCGAATGAATGTTTCAACGTTAGAGAACTGAGGCATTGGAAAATTCATAACAAGGCCATAAATTCATACATGTGAGATCAATGGGATAGTAGGTCTTTTAGACAGGTGAATAGAGTGCTGCTTAAGCAGCCATGTACATTATTTGTCCATAGTTAATGCTTCCATCCACATGGATATTTTGCTGCCCACTTTACAGTTAAAAAGTATCTTTCAGCTTTTCACCAGCCATCACTGGCTAATATATTAGAAGAAAAGTAGTATGCTCACCTTATTTTCTGTCATCTAATCAGAGGAAATAAATGGGCCTGATCTCATTGACACCGGTGGAAAAGTCATACAAACAAGAAAAGAAGCAGTGAGCCTTGGTATTGATGGAAAGTAAAGGCATCACCACTAAACGCCTCCTATCCATCCAGCTGTTCTCGGTTAGCTCTCCTTGTAGTTACACTGGGGGAGATCAAGACAAAAAGAGGGAGGAAAGATGTGGCGCTAAACCAGCCTCAAGAGGAAACCTCACTTGCAGCCACCAAGGTGCAATGCATGAGAAGAGACACGACCTTGCATGAAAATGTGGGTGTTGCGTTTTAGTCCAAGAGCCACCACCCCACAGAAATAAATCCAGCCCACACTTCTCGCAGTGTTCCTCAGTGAAGATGGGTGAGATGCTTGCTTACATAAAAGATTTCTGGCCATGGACCAGGCATCCAGAAACTCTCCCTGGGATAAATGAGTTCAGTGACCCCCGAGCAGTGACTTGCATTAGCAACAACAAAAAGCATTATACGCAATACTGACTTACTCCAAGGTCTGGGAAGATAGGTGGTTTGAGCTGGGCAGGCAGTGTTAATATGTACTGGTTTATGATCTTGACTTTAATCCCTCTGAATCACAGCTTTGCAGCTGCAAGAAAGGACAGTAGAAATGCTCCAGCTCACTGGGGAGATGTGAAGATTGAATTTTTAACTGAGTGCATTCAGCAGCATGGGGGTAAAAAAGGATGTTTGATTTTAGCGCATGGACCAGGATGGGGATACAGTGGCAGGGACCCAACTGCCAACTGTGTTTTGCTCTCTTCCTTATTTCAGGTCATTTCTTTTAAGCCAGCACAGGGCTTTTAAGGACTGTGTCCCATATCTGGGTCTTAGCAGATTTGCCCACACGTTTTCCTGAGCGTGTCTCTGGGACTCATAAAAGCATCTTTAGTGCTCAAGTAAGTTCCCCTTTGAGGAGGGACTGTCAAAGACGGGCGCTAATGTCATTAGGAGGTTACAAGGGGGAAACAAGAGAGAATTTGCTACAGATCCTCATTTCCATAATCTTGCCTCGACATCCTCGTTTGTCAGTTCTTAACCTCAACTCCTTAACCTCCAAATCTGTGGAGTTGTTGACCTCGGGGATTTGTCTTCAAAGTGATTTCAAGTTTTAGGCAATCTAAATTAGGCTCCCTGTGACAGAAGACAAAACTTGGTCTTTGCACCCAAATGTGAAAGACAGGCCCAGAGTGCAAGTGAAATCTTGCAATCGTTTTTTCAAACCATCTGCCCATCTGCAGTCCCAGAACAATATCAGTTCGGTGCTGCCTTCCCCCTCTCTCTCACAGGAATAAAGAAATTACCATAAACAAAGCAGATCAAGGGGCTATTTAAGCCAAATGCAGCCAAGACACATTGCTTCAGAAGGCAGCAGGAGGAAAAAAAAGAGCTACAGGGGAAGTTTCATCCTACCTCCCTTTAACTCCAGTTTGGCCAGTGACGCCAGACACCACAGTATAATTTGGAGTGGATGGTGCCGTACCCCTCTCCATGGGCACTCTGTTTCCAGGGTATTTCTGCAGCAAACAAAAGTGATCACCACAAAGCATTCTGGCCAAAAAAAGAAAAGAGAAAAAAGACTGCAGAACTGCTCCCTAACTGTGCAGAGGAGGGAGAATACAAGAAAACAGGAAAATTAGGCTGGACACAAAGAGCCTTTTGGTCCCTCAGACCATTTCTGCGTTGCACATGGCAGTCAAACCGATGCCTGAATGATGCTATTTATTTCAGGGTGTAAAGCCATTGTGAAAAGATGCATTATTTCCAAGAGTGTGCTCTGAGTTAGAGAGTCTGCAGCAAACTGGCAGGGCAGCTTGGCACAAGGATTTTCTGGAGCAGCAGGTAGAGATGAACAACGGGAGCTGGACCAGTCCCCGCATGACAGGGGGAAACAGGGAAAGCAGAGAGATTAAATAATTCAGTGTCTAGGTTGATGCAATGCATGGAAAAATACTGCCAGAAGTCATGAAGCTAAATGCTGGGGTAGTTTCGATGGATCGGAGAGCAGGTTTTGGGGATAAAGAGAGGGAAAAGGGCACATTTCTGTAGGGGAGCAGCTTGTGCAGCCACGGTGTGAGCGGTGCTGTGTGGGGCTGCACGCGCTGCAGAGAGGCTGCCCCCGAGGTGCCGAGAGGGGGAAGGAGATCTGCGGGAGCCTGAGCCTCATTATTTTTATGTTCAGCTGCCTAATTACTATGTGTCAGCTGTCTGTTGGAAGGAACGATGTACTGCAGCCTCTCGTTTGGGAATTTATAGTGATTAATGGGCCTGGAGGGAATGACTAACGAGGAAATGTTAGAATTAGTAAATATGCATCACCGTGCAATGAGTAAACCGGGGGACATGACAAATGAGCCCAAGTATGTGAAAGATGTAAACGTCGCAGAGGGACAGCCTTTGGGAGGCCTCGGGGACCAGCAGAGACAGACAGGAACAGGAGGATGGGGGCAACAGAGGTGTGATCCCAAGGGTTAACAAAAAACCCCAAACAAGTAAGGAAGATCCCCCTGAGCCTTTCAGACAGTCCTACACAGACCTGAAGGAACAAACTCAACCTGACATGGCACTGCAATAGGACTATTTCTCTTCCACACTGTTGCCTCCTATGGAGCACAGCAACGAGCATCAGTGTGACAGCCCCATGTTGGGCAATCATGGTGATCAGGACTTTGAAGATACTTAGACACTGCAAGACATAAACTACTTCATTTATCTATTTAATGTGCAGAAATTGCTTTCAGTCTGACTGTTTCAGAAGTATCTGTCTCCTAAATGACAGCTTTGCTGCATGCCAGAGAACTATAGCTAGTCCAAAATCCATGCTAAGTAACACCTGCAGGTTCAGTCTTACAGGGAAGGAAAAGAGAGACGACAGCATCATGGAGGGTCCTGGATCTGGGGGCTACTTTCCTGTATATTCCTATATAGGAGAGATGTATAATCCCTCAGAATTAGAGCCTGCAGGTGTTCTTGTATGGCTGGGGCTTTAAAACTTTATCTCTTGGAAAAATGATACCAATTTCAGTAAATTCTATTAGAATCAGTGAAATCATTCAGATGAACAGGGTTTAGGAAATAAAACATCTCTCTTTCTTACTTTCTTGGTCTAAAATCTCATTGAGATCATCTGGCAATCACTGGTCTGCTACATCTGTCCATCACCAGCATCTGCTGGTGAGATCACACTCCGAGCAGCCTACTGTATACCTTTGTGTCAATGTTGCTATATGTGGTTATATGAAGAAAACAGAACCCCAGATTCAAATGCTCTTGGATTTTGGGTCGTGGAAACTCTAGAATTACATATGCTACAGAATTCTGAAATTTGGTCTCTTTTGCACCTACCAGATCAAATCCCTCGCTCCATGTGGCTTTCCCATTTTATTTCAAGCACAGCAACACCATTCAAATTTCACCCATTTGAAAGATGCAGCTGTTTCTATTTTTGGTGAATCCCTGATAGAGAATAGGAAACAAGCAACAATTCTGCACTGCGTTTGGTGATCAGCCATATTCTGTCCCTAAGATATTTGTCACTCATTGGAAACAGAAGTCAGGGGAGCAATAGCTTAGGAGCTTCTACCCTTTAAATACTGCAGAACAGCTGTAACAGTATGTTTTCTCTACAATAGATGTTTCTGAAAGCTGAGGCAGTTTTCAGAGGACATAACTGACCATGGATAAGGCTCTAGTTATGGAATAGGTAATTATCCTTTTCCAGCATGCCTAGATGCGAAAAATAAAACCATTTGTAGACCAAAAACCCAACAAAACCAAACAACAAAACAAACATCCCCTCCCCATACCAACCAACTAATCTCCTTTGTGGATATTTAACAATCTAAGTTACTCTTGCCTTTGTTAGTGTACAGCATTTAAATCCCACCAAAAGGAGGGCAAGAAAGGAATGAAATAATCTCTGACAGTATATTGTCATTCAGTCTGTGTATTAGCACATACTTAGCATGCACTCTGACTTGCCAAAAAACAAGATGCTGCAAACAAGAAGAGTCACACAATCCTAGAAGACAGCTCAGATCCCATGGTTTTAGGAGCCATGTGCGCACCCAGCTACATAAACCTGGTCTGATCAGATCCAAACATATCCATCATGCAGGGCATGAGTTTCAACACCCACACCTTGGCTGGCACATGTTAGCTGCTCACTGTCTGGAGGAAAATCAGAAGCCAAATAAAAAAGTAAGATAGGTTAAAGGAGGGCCAAATGCACCAACATGGTACATGGAGATGAAGTTATTTGATCATGGTCATGCAGCAAAATCACCATGCAGCTGGGAGGAGAACAGGTATTTCTTGACTTTCAAGGTTGTACTTTACCCAGAGCACTATGACTTGGCCTTTGAAGAACCT